TTTTTTTTTTTTTTTTTTTATCCTTTTGAGACGGGGTCTCGCTACACAGTTCAGGCTGGGTTTGAGCTCACTTTGTAGCCCAGGTTGGTCTCGAACTCTCAATGATCTTCCTGCCTCAGCCTCCCTAGTGCTGGGATTACAGGGTTTTGTTTTGTTTTGTTTTTTGTTTTTTGAGTTCTTTATACATTCTCTGTCGCAATCCTTAGTCTGAGGAATATCAAGGAAACATTTTTTCCCACATTGTGGGCTGTCTCTTCACTTTGTTGGTGGTTTCTCTTGCTGTGCAAAAGCTTTTTAATAAAATGAGATTACAGTTGTTGGTTTTTTGTGGTAGTTCCTATGTGATTGGGGTTTTATTCATAAAATCTTTGCCTACACCAGTGTCTTTAAGAGTTTTACCTATTCTGTCTTCCAGCACATTTAATGTTTTTGTCTTAACATTTAGATCTTTGATCCATTTTGAATTTAGTTTAGTGCGTGGTGAAAGATACAGGTCCAAATTTAATCTTTTGACTTGTGCAGAGCCAGTTTTCCAGCACCACTTTTTAAATAGGCTATCTTTCTTCCAGTGTATGTGTTTGGCCCCTTTGTCAAATATAAGGTAGCTGAGTATGTCTGGAATTGTTTCTGCATCTTCTAGTCTGTTACATTGATTGTTTGGTCTATTTTTTTGACAATGCCATATTGTTTTTATCACTGTAGCTTTATAGTATAATTTTAAGTTAGGGATTGTGATGCCCCCTACCTTGCCTTTGTTGCCCAGAATTGCCTTTGCTATTCTAGGTCCCTTCTGGTTCCAAATGAATTTTAGGATTGTTTTCCCTAATTCTGTGAGATATGCTGTTGGAATTTTGATTGGAGTTGCATTAAATCTGTATAACAGTTTTGGACGTATGGCCATTTTTACTATATTGGTTCCACCTACTCAAGAGCAAGGGATATCTTTCCATTTTCTGATATCCTCTTTAATCTCCTTTTTCAGAGTACTGTAGTTTTCAAGGGAGAGGTCTTTTATATCCGTTAGATTGAGTCTTAGGTATCTCATTTTTGGGGGTACTATTGTGACTGTGGTTTTTTTGTTTTGTTTTTTTTTTGTTGTTGTTGTTTGTTTGTTTTGTTTTTTTCCGATACCAGGAATTGAACTGATGCCCTCACGCTTGTGAGGCAGGCGTGCCGCTGAGCTATATCCTTGGCCCATTGGATGCTATTGTGAAAGTTGTTGTTTCCCTAATTTCTGTCTCTGAGTTTGTTGTTTGTGTATAGGAAGGCTCTTGATCCTTGAGTGTTGACTTTGTATCCAACTGTGTTACTGAATTTGCTTGTTAAATCTAGCAGTTTTTTAGTGGAGTTTTTTGGGTTTTCTATGTCGAGTATTGTGTCATCTGCAAATAATAATTTCACTTCTTCCTTTCCTATCGTTATTCCTTTTATTTCTTTCTCTTGTCTAATTGCTCTGGCTAAAGTTTCCAGGACTGTGTTGAATAAGAGACAGTGGGCATCCTTGTCTTGTTGCTGATTTTAAAGAGAAAGCTTACAGTTTTTGTCCATTTAGTATGATGTTGGCTATTGGTTTGTCATAGATGGCTTTCATTAAATTGAGATAAAGACTATCTATTCCGATTTTCTGTACGGTTTTTATCACGAATGGGTGCTGGACTTCATCAGAAGCTTTTTGTGCATCTGTTGAGATGATCATAGGTTTTTGTCCTTGGGTCTGTTAATATGATATGTCACATTTATTGATTTTTGTAGGTTGAGCCATCCCTGCATCCCTGGTATGAATCCCACATGGTCATGGTGTGTAATCTTCTTGATGATTTGCTGCATTCTATTTGCCAGTATCTTATTAAGGATTTTTGCACCTATGTTCATTAGGAAGATGGGCCTGTAGTTCTCATTCTTAGTTTGGTCCTTCTCCGGTTTGGGTATGAGAATAATGCATTTTTCCAGGAATGAATTTGGGAGTATTGCTTCCTTTTCGGTTTTATTAAAGAGTTTGAGAAGTATTGGTGTTAGGTCTTCCCTAAATTTCTTGTAGAATTCAGCAGTGAATCCATCAGGACCTGGGTTTTTCTTTTTTTTTTTTTTTTTTTTTTTTTTTTTTTCCGGTACCGGGAACCGAACTCACGACCTTGTGCTTGCCAGGCAGGCGCTTTGCCGCTGAGCTAAATCCCCAGCCCCAGGACCTGGGTTTTTCTTTGTTGGTGGGTTTTTAATTACAGCTTCAATTTCATTGATATTTATTTAGGATTTCTATATCGTCTTGATTCAGCTTTGGTAACTTATATGTATCTAGGAATCTGTCCATTTCTTCTGCATTTTGCATCTTATTAGAATACAAGTTTTCGAAGCAGGTATAGATCATCTGGATTTCTGCAGGGTGTGTTGTGGCTTCACCCTTTTCATTCCTAATTGCATGGACTTGAGTCTTTCCTTTTTTTGATAAGGTTGGATAAGGGTTTGTTGATTTTATTTAATCTTTCAAAGAAGCAACTCTTTGATTCATTGATTCTTTGTATTTTTTTTTAGTCATGGGTGTGTTAACTTCTCCTCTGATCTTTATAATTTCTTCCCTCCTATGAACTTTTGGCTTAGCCTGCTCTTCTTTTTCTGTAAGTTTGAGGTTCACCATTAAATTGTTTATTTGTGCTTGCTCTGTTTTCCTGATATGGATATTCGCTGCTATAAATTTCCCTTTTAGGACTGCTTTCACTGTGTCCCATAAGTTTTGTTAGCAATCTTTTTTATTTTTTGAGACAGGGTCTCCAATTTACAGTCCTCCTGCCTCAGCCTCCAAGAGTGCTGGGATTGTAGCTGTGTGACACCGCATTTGGCCAGGGACATGAGCTTTGATGACAGTTTAGCTTTTACTATTTCTGTAACAGATTATTTACTTTCTCAGCATCAGTTAAATCTGGGGGTTAAATGTACTTGCCACACGGGAAACAAACCATGGTTGTAGGGGCTGCTACTTTAGACATAAGATTCCCCCCTTTGGGCTGGGGATATAACTCAGTGGCGTAAGCACCTGCCTGGCAATCACAGGTTCCTGAGTTCAATTCCCGGTACTGGAAAAACAAGATTTCCCCCCTGCTTGCCCCTGCTGGAGCTGTAGCCCTGCTGTCGCTGCTGTTCTGCGGGTGATGAGAGTGAGGCTGGGCCCTGGGTAATCGGTACTACTCCTCAGACGTGGGGCTGTAAGGATTGTGGCTTCTTCTGCCTTTTGTTCCAGAATTTTTGTAAGCTCAGTTGAATTAACTGGAAATAAGAGATAGATCTGGAGCTCCAGAGCCCGGTTGAAGAAGAAATTTAGACATTGCTCCCTGCATGGGGGTGGTAGCCAGTCACTCCCTTCCCTTTGAAGTCCAGTTGTCTTTTCAGCAAAGAACTGTATAGTCTCCGTGACAGGTGATAGTTGTTGGGTTTACAGGTGACTTGAATCCCTTGCATACTGCAAAGCGGCATATATCTACCTTCCTTCCCCAACTGGGTTGTGAGTCCTTGGAGGGCAGAGGACTGTACTTTGTAGGTCTGGGGATAACTTCTGCCCTGTGATAGGCCTCATGTTATTTGCTGACATAGCGAGTTAACACTTCATTTTAATCTCAAAAAAGGAACTCTCAACCATTTTTAAGTGAATACCAATGAAGGTGATTTTATCTTTATATTGCATTAAAACATTCTTTTCTTCACATATTCTGCATAAAAAGTACTACATCAAATGTCCTTAAAACTGCACCTTAACAGGGCATGATGGTGCGTGCTTGTAATCCCAACACTCAGAAGGCTGAGGCAGGAGGATCGCTGAGAGGTCAAGCCCAGCCTGAACTACATAGCAAGATCCTGTCTAGTCTGAAAAAAACCAAAACCAAAATCAAATGAACAAACAGAAGAAGTCCTGCACCTTGACGGTCACTGCATCGTGTCTCGGCTTTATAGGGTCTGGTCTGTGTCGGTGCCAGGGAGTGGAAGGCTCGGACCGTTACTCTGCTGTTCCTTCCCCTCATTTTACAGTTGAAGAAAGTGAGGGCCGAGTCACAGTGGTTCTCCCATTTTTATCTGACAGGGTATTTTTCTAATTCAGCTTGTTTGAGACCCAAGATCCCTGCCAACTCGAGTTCTAAATGTTTTGTATTTATCTTCGGCAGAGCTGAAAAGCTGCAGCTGCTGAACCACAGGCCGATGACCGCTGTGGAGATCCAGCTGGTGAGTGGGGGGCCTGGGCCTGGCCGGGGTCGGGGAGAGGCCTCCAGTGCCCGCTGGTCAGCGAGAGGAGGCCTCAGAGCGCAGCCTCGCCGCCGGGCCTCAGGCTGCTGACTCTCTCCCGTGGGCTTGGCGGCTTCGTCTCCTCCGATGTGATGCGTCAGGCCTGCGCCCTGCACCCTCTGGGTCTCCCCTGCTCCGGCAGCCCCACCCCTCTTCTCTTGGCAGCCGGGTACTTCCTCAGCTCTCCTTGCCCGCCTCCTGCCTGGGCTGCAAACCAGAAAGCCCTTCCTTCAGCTCAGGCCCATCGTGTTTTTCTTTCTTTCTTTTTTTTTTTTTTGTCTTTTTGACACAGTGTCTCACTGTGCAGTTCAGACTGGCCCCTTCCTGCCTCAGCCTCCAAGTGCTAGGGTTCCAGGCCTGCACCACGCCCAGCTTGGCCCATCTCCTCTTGCTCCCTGTCTGTCCCTCCTGCATGGCAGGGCCCTAGTTTCCATCATCCTTTCCTAACCCAGCTCCTGCCCTTCCCCTACCTGTGAGTGCCCCTCTAACACCCGGCTGTGGAGCACTGCAGCCCCCTGCCTTCCCTGCATGAGACGGAAACCTCCCTGTGCGCCTCAGCCCTGGGAAGTCCGGGCTGCAGGCCCTGCGTAAGGGGTGGGCAGCGCGGGCCGGGCGCTGGAAGGAGTGCGAGGTGACATCCAGTGACACGCGGGTGGCTGCCCTGTTGGCTCTCGCAGCAGTCTCCTGTGGCACAGGCAGGGAGCAGGTGGTCTAGCTGCTGGTGAAAATCTCTGCTGCAGGGAGCTCAGGGAACAAGAAAGTTTCCAGAGTCAGTTTAGACACACTCAGCTCTGTCAGATTTCCTTTAGAAAAACATGGAAGAAAATGGCCAGAAACACCTATCATCTTGAGTTTCTTGTTGAAATTTTTTTCAGGGGTAGTAAACTTCGCCTGAAGCCTTCATTACCTTCATTGTTTCTGCCCTTTCAGAATATACCCAAATTAGATTAGAAAAATTCCTCTCCAGGGGAACTGGCCTTTCGGCTAAATGGAGGTCTCTCTTTTGTATCCTATTATTCTTGCACTTTAGACTGCTGGAGATTTAACTTACAGGAGAGAAAAAGCAAGAAGCAAAACAGCAAGAAGCCAGTCCCTTGCCCTCTGGGTTAGAGATCACATGTCGCGTCTCCTCCAGCTCTGATCAGCAGCATATGTTACTGTGGCGGAGGGACAGATGGCGCGGGAGAGGGAGGACGGCGTGACCTCGCCGCGGAGCCTGCAGAGAGCTATCATTACCCCCTAACGGCGGCCTCCGTCCCAGGGGCCGTATCTGTGTCCTTTCCAATGCCCTCACCGTAGTGTTAGTGGGGATGCAGAGAATGGGTGAGCGGCTGGCGAGGGGCTGCAGGGTGGCGTCTCGGAGCCTGTCCCTCTCCTCCCAGCCGCGCACTTCGCTCCTGTGCGTTAGTCAGGGTCGCAGAGCGCTGTGACCCGATTTATCAGGGGAGCAGCTCATGCGATGATGCAAGCTGAGCCCCAAAAAGGCATCCGCAGGCTGGAGAGTCCAGGATACGAGCAGCACCGCGCAGTCCAGGTCTGGGGGTGCAGAACCCCAGGACTCTGGGGCCTACCGGCGTGCGGCATGGAGCAGCTCGGGGCAGAGCGCCCGGAGTGCTGGTGTCTGTGGGCGGGGGAGCGGTCAGCCTGCCCGGGCGCACGGGCTTCCCACCCTGACCTCCGCCAGCGCATGGCTCACCCACATGCGGGGCGGGTTTGCCCCTCGAGGCCCACCACTCTCCCAGGCCACCCAGCAGAGGCGCTCACAGCTCTCTGGGGTCCCCAGGCAGCCGGGCACGGTCGAGCTGCGACAGCGCCCCTGGAGGGGGTGGGGGGTTGAGGGGTGAGGGCAGCACCCAGGTGGCTCCCTTCTTCCTCAGAGCAGGCAGCCTTAGTGAAAACTGTCTCCTCCTAGCGCTGGCTCCGTCACAGCCCGGTGCCCCTCCCTAGGATGTGGCTACAGGAGGCGGCAGGCCCTTTACCGGGCTGCGAACAGTGTCTTCTCCACACAGAGGGAGAAGTGAGGGCTTCCCACAGCAGGAAAGTGCAGCGCACCTGAGAGCCCCTGTGCGCGCCCGGTCCCCAGCAGCGGATCCCGGTGTCCACGTGTGTCCGCGTTCACTTGGGGCCCGGGCAGCCTTCGGAGGCTGAGGTTCACCCGCTCCGTTCATGAGCCTCTGCTGTGGCCTGTGCCTGGCATACGGTCAGGTGTCACATTTCCCTCTTGAGATGTCACGTCAGTGCTCAGAAAGTTTCAGAGCCAAGCATAGTGGTGCATGCCTGTAATCTCAGCTGCTCAGGAGGCTGAAGTGGGAGGATTGCGAATTTGAGGCCAACCTAGGCAATTTAATGAGAGCCTATCTCAAGACAAAATAAAAGCTGTAGTCCTAGCACTTGGGAACCTGAGGCAGGAGGATTGCTGAAAGTTTAAGGCCAGCCTGGGCTGCATAGTGAGTTCAAGGGCAACCTGGACTACATAGTGAGACCCTATCAAAAAAAAAAAAAAGAAAGACAGAAAGAGCTAAGGATGTAGCTCAGTGGTAAGATGTTTGCCTAGTATATGTGAAACTGTGGGTTTAATTGCTACTAATGTATAAAGAAAAAAAATAGGCTTGGATTTTAGAGCCCATCAGATCGGCCTGCGTTAGATTCTGAGTCCTGTGGAAGACAGCAGTGTGTGAGCTTAGCACTTAGAACGAGGGAGGCCGCTTTGGGAGTTGAGCGGTCCAGATTGACAGCCTGGGGATTAGCACAATCTTTGTATGCGATACAGGTTTGTCACCATGTGTTTGCCAAGTGAGTTTTTAAATTGCATTTGCTGCACGCTACGAGCAGTGCAAACCCTTTGGCGTGCGGACATCGAGGTGGCTCTGAATGCGCCTTTCTCCTGTGTGAGGGGGTAGAGGGGCGGGTGACTCAGCTGGCGTTTACCCGGTGTGTCCAGGAGGGGTCGGTAAGTTGTTTTTGATTTTCATTTGTTTGTTTTTTGGGGTAGGGTCTTGCCACCCATACGTGGCTGATAAGTTTTCAATTTTTTTTTTAATCAGCACCTAGCACTCAGTGCTAAGTAGAGTTAGGAACTTGTTTTTCTAAGATTCTCATCTTACGAAGAAAACACAAGTTGCATTAAGCTAAATAAAATATACCTAAAAGAACAAAATAGTGAAAAATTACACAGAGAAGAGGTGCTTTCAGAAATCAAAAACTTAGCTGGGCCTGGTGGCACATGTCTGTAATCCCAGGACTCGAGGCTGAGGCAGGAGGATTGTTGGAAGTTTGAGACCAGCCTGGGCTACAAAGTGAGCTCAAGGCCAGTCTGAACTGCAGAGCAAGACCCTGTCTCAAAAAGACCAAAAAAAAAAAAAAAAAAACAGAAAGCTTATCAGCCAGATGTGGTGGCGCACGCCTGTAATCCCATCACTCAGGAGACTGAGGCAGGAGGATTGCCATGAGTTCAAGGCCAGGCAGAACTACATAGCAAGACCCTTCAGCCTCCCAGCACGGAGCCCTCGGTCTTCTGTCTCAGACCCTTCAGCCTCTTGGCATGGACTTGCACAGGACATTGCCGTGAGCTCCAGGCCTTTGACTGGACCCTTGAATCTCTAGTGTATGGACAGACCTTTTGCACTTTCTACAATTGACTGTGGGCGGCCACTGTGGCCCGTCTTGTAGATTTCTGCCCTGCATTCAGGCTGATTGGAGCGTGTGCGGCCTTGAGCAGCCTCGCCCCAGCCCTGACTGCCGCACCCACCTTCGAAGGATTGCACGTCTCTCCATGGAGCCGCAGGCCCTCGACCCTGGGGTGCTGTCAGGTCCAAGCCAGCGCAGGGAGTGTGTTCAGTGGTGGGCTTTAGACCTGGGCGGCCAGGCTTGGGATCCCAGTTCTGCTCCTGCCTTGGGTGAGGGTGAAAAGACACATTGCTTGTAAGCAGCCCCGGGGTGCCACCCCAGGCACACAGAGCCCTCGAGCGCCTGTGAGCGGTGGTGACGGCGGCACTGAGAGGGAAGCGGTGAGCCCTTTGGCGCCGAGCAGTGGAGACGTGTGCTGTGAAATCGGAAGCGTGTAGTGGTGCGTTCACCCCTCTGGGGTGGCTTTTCTCTGTGTACACAGCATCCCCTTCTCGGGGCCGAAGCGGGTGGCGAGAGGACAGGCAGGGTTTTCCCCACCTCCTGCCCATTTGGCTCCTGTGCATCGGCTCAGCGCACTGGCTGTGCCCTGCCGTGCAGCCTGGGGGGAGAGGCGCTGGGCACCTCTGGCCGGGCAGGGCTGGCTGGGCCCGAAGCGCATGTCGCTAAGGGCAGCGTCTGCTTTCCTCGCGCAGATGGTGGAGGAGACGGAAGAGCGGTTCACAGAGGAGGAGCAGATCGAGGCGCTGCTCCACACCGTAACGAGCATCCTGCCTGCCGAGCCGGAGGCGGAGCAGCGGACCGGCGCCAGCAGCGCCGAGGCGATGGACGAGGAGGGCCCAGCCTAGAGGAGCGCGGGGCCGGGCCGCTCACGGGTAGAGGGCCGGCAGCCGCTTCCTGGCCATTCGGAGGACTGTTTCTTTGCTTTTCCCATCTGTCCCAGCAGCCTGTTTCCAGGGGTGGTTGGGAAAAATCATCAAGAAATAAGTGAATGGAGATACTCGGGCCTCGAGGAGGAGCCGCAGTGAGGTCAGGCTGAGGTTACTGTGGCAGAGAGCCAGAGGAAGGACAGTGACTGGCCACGCCGGTGGGAGCGCCCTTTCCTGTGGCCTTTGCTGCTCGCAGGAGCCCTGAGTGTCCACAGATGGCGAAGCACTTGTGTGGCCCCTGATGAGCTGCGTGGTAATGACTTTCATCTGCTTTCCGAGGGACCCCGGGCAGAGCTGGGAGGGCCGCTGACGAGAGCTGAATTATGGGAACCTGGTTGGAGGGCTCGGACCCCAGAGCAGCGAATAGTGGCTGTAGGTCAGGACGAGCGCTGGCCTCGCCTGCCTGAGGGAACGTGGACGTCGGGTGAGTGAAGACCAGGCCTCGCGAGGGCTGCCTTCGGGTCTCACTGCCTGGTCCCAGGTGATCGCGGCCGGCTCTCCAGACCACACGGCTGCGACCAGGCACAGTGGGGCTTCCTGGCTGACCTGTTTCCTGGCCGGGCCTGGCCGGGCCGGCGGTGACGCAGACCAGGTGAGCCTCGCTGCAGAAGGAAATCATTTGCGCCTTTAAAGGGGGCATCGTTAGGCAGTTCTTCCATGACCAGAGCGGGAAACCCTGGATCGACTAATAAGAATTTGCACTTGCTATTACAAGGTTGCCTCAGTTTTTGAATTTAGAATAATAATTACCACGTGAAGACCTTTTAATATTCGGGCTTTGCAGAGTTAGGACTTCCAGATGGGCCTGTGGTTGCCGTCTCCATTCCCTATTCCGTTTGGGGCAGAAAATGCCCATGTGTACTAATCTTCCGGTTGGTGCTTGTTTTGGCCTAAGATTACGTATCTTCAGTGTTATTAATTGAGTTACTTGCGACCCTTGTCCTTCCCAGTTTATTCTGAACCTCCTCCCTGCCGCAGTTGGCTGCGGTTGCTGCCTTTACCATCCGAAGAGTGGTGAAGTCTTTGGAGGCCGCGCTGAGAGCCACAGGTTTGGGGTTAAATCTCTGTCAGTAGGGGGATCCAGTCGGAGCTGCTGATTGCTCGTGCCTGTTTCTCTTTTACCCTTACTAGAAATGTGTGAGATGGTTTCTCGATGGGTTTAAGCCTTACACTAGCGAGTGAGAAGTTTTCCAGCTGTTGCCAACCTTTGCATTTTCTTTGAAGAATTTGCATTGTCACAGGCTGAGAAATAAAATCACATCTGACTTAAAGGCTAAAATGTCTGATTTTTTTTTTTTTAAGTTAAATACTCTAAATTTTTTTGAAAAATTTGTTTCCATGTTGGGACCTGAATTTAGCCTCAGTAAAACCAGGCCGTGGGAGACACCCTTTACAAGAAACAAGATGTGGGGAACCACTCAGACTGCTCCAAAGCTCAGGGGCGGCCAAGGACGCCTGAGGACGTGACACCGCTTGTCTAGCGCAGGCGCACAGTGGGACAGTTACGTGACCGTGACTGAGCACAGGTACGCACAGGTGCTGGTTACGGCCCTAGGTGAGAAAGTAAACACGAGATGAGAACAACCTGTGTAGGAACTCTACAGCACAGACGCAGGCGGCGCCCTCGCGCGCTCGCTCTGGCCCTCTCTCTGCCCCACGCTGCCTGCGGTTGTCCTGATGCCTTGCACATATGTGTTCTTTAACCTTGGGACCTCCCCTGTGAAAATCTGCCCGCCCCCGCTAACACAGTGTGTCACATTCGTAAGAAACATTTCAGAAAGAAAGGTCCTATTTTATATAAACTCAACCAGGATCGCTCGGGGGATGAGCTAAGGAGTCCGGGAACTCGCTTTTCATTTTATACCCTTTGTGGAGAGCCGTTTTGGATGGCTTTAAAGCCCAGGGCACCTGAGGACGTGCAAAGACATGACCCTGCTGTCTAGTGCAGGCGCACAACTTACACCAACATGACAACATAGCCACGCGTGCGCTGCACGGTTACGAGATACAAACGTTGATAACGGCTCGTGTGTACAAGCCAGATGATGAAGACACCGCTGCTGTTGCTCATGTCTGCTCCACGTGCTTTCTTTGGGGACCTCACCTGTGCAAATGCCCCGGGGCCCCCCCCCTGACAAGTGGCGTAGGCGATGAGAAGAGGTGAGTGTGCCTTTGGAGTCTGTGGAAACAGTGCCTGATGGTGAGAGAACCCCCTACCCCGCCCTGGTTATCTGTAGTCGGGGTTTTGGCCGCTTGGAAGGCCCCCGAGGACTGGGAAGTGGTTCATGGTCGGTCCGATGCCGAGGACTGGTTAAGGACCTTAGAGGTGATTGATTCGCAGATCCCCCCACGAGTGGGCACGGTGGGCGGGTTGGCTGCTCTTCACCTGTTGCACTGTGTGAGGTGGGAAGTGAAAACCTCCAGCAAGTAGATCAGCTGCAGTGGGCCGAGGGTTTAGAGCAGTGCCGGCTGCCACGGAAGTCACATTACGGGGTGCGGGACGCACCGTCCCCTCCCACAGCTCTCCAGAAGCTGAGTCCCCATTCCCGGGAGCCCCTGCTGTGGTGTGCGAGGCCTGCTATTCGCCAAAAGGCGTAGCGGAGCCCCCAGCTCGGAGGCTGGAGGACCAGCCCCTCTACCCATCACAGCATCACAGCGTGTAGGACCTATGTGGCCATAGAGTAAGGGGGCCCGCGAGACCACAAGCAAAAGGTGCATGAAACTGGCTGCTGTGGCTATGGGACGAAGGGGCTGGTACAGCTAAGCCGGCAGGAATTAAGCTGACGTGGCCAGCACCCCTCCTTGTGACAGGTTCTGCAGGATGTGCAGAGGATGGCCCCGCGAGCCATAACCAGACTGATAAATTTTAATAGCAGCAGCCCGCCTGGTTTGGGAGAACCCAGTGACTTGCCGGAACAAGTCACGACATGGACAGCCTCCCTAGACTTGGTCTCTGCTATGAGAGATGGTGTGAGCCGAGCGTTCACTGCAGTCCGCAGCCCGAGGGAGGAGCTGCTTACCTCACAGAGAGGACTTGATCTTGGTGGGCAGGCTGGCTGGCATGTTCGGGACAGTGGCCGCCCTTCTAGCCCCCTTCGCAGGTGGCCCAAATCATGATGCAGTTGAGGCCTTGGTGCGGCTGGGTGACATAAAGCGCCACGCTAAGGTGAGACCCTTAAAACCTCAGCTGCTCAAGGAGAAGTGGGCAGCCCCTGATGGAGCCGGTTCCATGTCCCAGGCACAGATGCTCGGCCCGCCAAACGTAAGCTGACGCCGAATTCGGACAGATCTGCTGGCTGCCGGCTTAGCCAGAGAAGGTAGGCGGGCAGTCCTGACTCTTTGCTGGCAGTTGTGCCTCCAGCAGCAGTGTCGGCCGATGAGCCCAAAGGCAGAAGCAGCGCCAGTGAAACACGTGGTGCTGGCGTCCTTTCATCCAGATTAAAGAGTAGGCCGAGGTCCCCGGCTCATGAGGTCCCCAAGACCGGAGGCGGTGTGGAACTATTTACTGGTCCCCCAAAAATCATACAGTGTGCGCTAGCCTTGGTAAATACCAGAGCCGAGTTGATGCCGATTTGTGGCAACCCACACCATTTCACGGGACCTACTGTGCATGTGAAAGGGTGCGGAGGTCGCCCTGTCACAGTCCAGAGAGCCCAGGTGACGTTGGGTATCGTGCCTGGCTCCGTGCCCTTATGATGTCTGTTTCCCCGGTTGCTAAATATATACGGGGGGCTGGACGTACTGACTGCTGCGTGGCTCAGCACCACACAGGATAAATTCTGCGCGAGGATCCGTGTAGTAAAAACCACGGTCCAAGGACGTGCACACCACGCACCCCAGCACGCTGCGTGGGTTGTGTGTGTGAAGCAGTATCGGCTACGTGGGGGCCATGGAAAGCCAGGACAAAGCATCTAAAGAGTCAGAGGTAACACGCCTGGCACATAGCCCTTTCAGCTCCCTGCATGACCCGTATGACGGACATGGCACGTGACTAGATTACTGTGAATTGATTAAAGTGGCTCCTCCATTGCATGCAGTTATCGGGTTAATAATATCCCTTAGTTATTGCGGCCGGATTAGGTCCTCAGTCTCCCGAATGAGAGTACGGCAAAGGCTAAAAAAAAAGAGGCAAATGGAATGATCTCAGAATTTGAGATTCTCTCAGGGCTAAGACCAAGATCTTCTCTGGGTGGCCCGTATTTATTTGGTTATTAGAAGAAGGGAGGGGAGTACTCAAGAAGTACAGAATCACTCAAGGACTTCCCCAAATAAGGTATTAAATTAATCCACCCAGGAGTGAGATGCCTGAGGCTATAGTCTATCCAGGTGAGATCTGATCCAGATGTCCTTGGCTGTGATCTTGTCTTGTCCTTTGAGGCTTTCTGGCTTCATCACCACTACAGATTTTAGTAGGGATTAGTGACTCACAGAGGTTCACTTACTGAGCCCACCATTCCCAGACAAGAAGCCTAGGCCTTAGACAGATTCACAAGTGAACATGAAAAGCCAATTGATTAAGTCCTGCTCAGGGCTGCTTCGCAGTGGTCTCTATCACACGGTAGTGCCTAACACTAGCTCGTCTCACCCTGACACTGGGTCAATGCCGTTATGTTGCAGAGTTGGCTAATACCTTCTTCATTGCTACTGTGACTGACAGACAATTTCCTTCCCCTGGGAGGGCAGGCAGTAGACCTTCCAGATGTTGGCACCAGGCTATTTGCACAGCCCGACTTTGTGTCATGGCCTGATTGCCCAGGACTCGGCCACCTGGGCCAAGCCACACTCTGTGTCACTGTTCCATTATATTGATGATATTATGTTAAACTCTGCCCTATAAATTTAAAAGCTGCCACACAGTCTAAAGAAAGCTTTGCTGGCCTGAGGGTGGGCTGTCACAAGGTCCAGGGACCTGGCTCATCTGTCAAATTCTTGGGAATCACCTGGTCAGGTAAGATGAAAGTAATTCCTGATGCCACTATTGATAAAATCCAGTCATACCCCAGACCCACAACGGTATGCCAATTATGGGCTTATGTGGGCCTATCGGGCTTTTTTGGCAAATGTTCACACCACACCTCGCTGCCCTGCTCTTCATGCTAGATGACCCAAAAGGACATGACATGGGACCAACAGACGCAGCAGAAGCTGCTTTTCAAGGCTCAAAGAGCACAGTTCAAGGGTACAAGCCACTTACCCTGCCATTTACCCTAACAGTGAGTACAGATGATGTTGGGTTTGGCTGGGGCCTGTGACCAAAAAAAAAAAAAGGCAGAAACACCTTGTTAGTTTTTGGTCACAGTTGTAAAAAAGAGCCAAAAGCCAGTATTATCTGATTAAAAATTTACAGGTCTATAAAAGAATCACAGGCGGCGGGCAGTAGAAGTGCAGACTAGATACCCGATTGAGTGCTGGGTCCACACATGGACGGCCCCTGCAAGAGCCAAGTGGCCAGGCCCCCACCCTCGTGAGCTGGTGTCCAGCCTGCTGACAGCCCAACTGGCGATGATATTGAGACCGATGATGTGTACAACACAAAACACCATGTAGGAGCACAGATGACAGGCTCTAACGCCCGGCCCCTGCACAGAAGAGCGAGGCTCCAGCCGACACCTGGTATACCGACGGGTCCAGCTGTGGAACAACCCCACAGTAGATGACAGTCACTGTCCAGCCCAGCCCCGAAATTCTCTGGTTTAAAACCAGAATGGGCAAGTCAAGCCAGTGGGCAGAGTTGCAGGCAGTGGAGCTACTTGCGATACATAAAAAAGGTCCCTACGTGTTTACGCTGGCAGTTGGGCTGCACTTAGAGGGTTGATCTCTGGCTTGGGCAGCCCAAGATTGATAGACAGGGCACCGGCCCTTGTGGGGCACTGACCTATGGCAAGACTTACGGGACTGTGGCCGGACAGCTAACCATATAGTACACCATGTTTCAAGACACAAGCCCCTCCTCTCACCCGGGAATGACTTCACAGGTGGCTGGACCAGGGTAGCTGCTCTCCACAAGCTGCCTTCTACCGCGGCACCTTGGCTCCGTAAGAAACCTGAAACACCTAAGACCTCACACTGTACAAGCAATAGCTCAGCGATGACGCCTACACTTGACTCCCGCTCAGTCAAAGGCTGCAGGAAAGCTGTGTCCACAGTGCACCCATTGCAGAAGCCTTACAGGTCTGTGACACCACGGGCTGGCCATACCTCCCCGCGCCGTGGACGGGCGCCACACCTGGGGATCCCCATGGGTTAAAAGCACTATCAGACCCTCATCACA